TGTTTGAACAATGCAAACGTAGCAGCTGATTTCATTTATCTTACGTAATTGACAATTTCATTTATTTTCTGGTAATGTGTTAAAATTCAGGTCAATTGATGGAGTTATTATTCTGGCTTCGTTAATATCATGCTGCCTGTGTCAACATTTTACAAGTCTGTTGGTTTTGTTGTTGTTTACAAGTCTGTTGTTGGTCTGTTGTTGTGATAAGGTCCAGGATTCATCATGCACAACTATTTACGAAACCTGTACATCTTTCCTCGATCGTGGTGGCTTTGTTTTCATTTACTAAAACAGGTTATGAGCTCCGAAACACTACGAGGTTGTTTATATCAATAATAACCTTGGGTTGTGAACTTTCCAAGCCCGTAAACTGTCTAATAAACGTTAACAAGCTTCCATAATTGAGGAAAGATGTACAGGTTTCGTAAGTAGTGGCGCAAATACATGATTAATCTCCTGAGTTTTTCACTAAGGCTTTCATAAGGTACGTGACCTCTGAAGCCGGACCTGTCGGTGTATATGATCAATATATTCACTGAGAGATGTATATAAGCCGAATATTATGGTTATTACTGTGAGCATAAGTCCACCGTAGAAGAGTCATTGAACTGTAAGCTCGCAAGAGGTGATTGCAGTGATGGAAGGTCAGGTAATCTTTGCTAAGAGAATGCTAAGCCAGTATGACTATATAGCACTTAAAAGGAATATGAGATAGACTTAAAGAGTTGGGATATGAAGACAAGGTTCTGGGACGTGCAGAGGGTGGCCAACCCTTTGGACTATCGGGGGATTGAGCACCGACCCTGCAAGAATCAGGAGAGTAGCTGTACCGCCCAGTTCAACATTTACATTCCGGCTGAAGAAAACAAACATAAAATATTCTTCATCGATACATTACTGTATTTAGGAATGAAAACAGCGGTATCCATTGTATCCTCACCAGCAACACTTAAATATAACATTGCAAACAGCAACACATCTGAGCTGCTTCAGCAACACAGATATTGTGTTGGTATATCACATATTCAATAATTAATACTGTGACTCGGCAGACTTAAACACCTTTGTACATTACCTGTTAATTTGTGAGCAAATTATCACACCAGAAAATAAAATAATAAAATATAAAAACTTTCAATACTTATAATCTTCCTATAATAAAATATAAAAACTGTTTCAATAGTTATAATTTTCCTATAATAAAATAAATAAATATAATAATCAAATAATAATGATTTTTTGTTTAAATAATAATTGTTATTATAATAATGATAAATTAGTAATTAAATAATAATTACATTAGTAAAATAGTTTATCCTAGGATAAAAATACTGAATATAATAATAATAATAATAATAATAATAATAATAGGATAAAACCCACAGTTATATATTTGTGAAATTTATATAAAGATTTACACCAAGCTGTTGAGTCCTGACACACACTCAGACCTTGACAAAGCACACAGGAGAGTGCGAAAGACTTGGTGTAAATCTTTACATAATTTTCACAAAAAAAAGCGTCGGTTTTAATCCTATGTTATTTTGTCTGTCAGAAGACATTATCATTACTTAAGAATAATAATAATAATCATAAATAATAATAATATTAATAACAATAACATTCAGAAACTTTAACAGTTTAATCATCAAGTATATCAATGCCCAATAATAATACAAAATGGGATAAAATATATTTGCAGTATACTCACACTGCTACAGTACACACACACTATACAGTATACCCAACCTGTACAGTATACCCAATCTGTACAGGTATATCCACATTCTACATAATCCCCTTTGCTATAGATAAGTATACAGTATACCCACATTGCTTCAGATAATAATAAAGTATTCCCTCTCTCTCTGTCTCTCTCTCTCTCTGTCTGTTCTGTCTCTCTCTCTCTCTCTCTCTCTCTCTCTCTCTCTCTCTCTCTCTCTCTCTCTCTCTCTCTCTCTCTCTCTCTCTCTCTCTCTCTCTCTCTCTCTCTCTCTCTCTCTCTCTCTCTCTCTCTCTCTCTCTCTCTCTCTCTCTCTCTCCCCCTCTCTCTCTCAAAAGGTTCTGATGTTCATAATGAAACTGCTTGATATAATTTTTCTTTGGAAGAAATCACCAATCCACTAAAGTCTTTTCTTTTCCAGGCACTCCCGTATCACTGGCCACTCTCACTTTCCCAAATATATATATTAATAGGAATTAATTCCAATTAATTTAATTGTTAATTGTTAGAAAACACAAATTAAGAATATGTGATGTTTTTAGTGGTGTGGGAGGTGTACAGGACGGGATGGCCCACCTTGCCAGCAGGGAGACCACCACCTGGATATTTGGAATGATTAAGCAACTACCGTCAACACAGAGAGAGGGATTACTGGCAGGCATTTTGAGTACAACTTAAGTCAGATCAATGTTATGTCAGTCGTGTGTGTGTATGTGTGTACTCACCTAGTTGTACTCACCTAGTTGTGTTTGTGGGGGTTGAGCTTTGGCTCTTTGGTCTCGCCTCTCAACTGTCAATCAATTGGTATTGACTGTGTGTGTTTATGTGTGTACTCACCTATTTGCGTCTGCAGGAGAGAGCATTGGCTCTTGGATCCCGCCTATCTAGCCATCGGTTGTTTATAACAATGACTCCTATTTCCCTATCATATCTAGTTTTAAAATTAGGAATAGAGTTTGCTTCCACAACCTGCTCCTTAAGTGCATTCCATTTTTCAACTACTCTCACGCTAAAAGAAAACTACCTAACATCTCTGTGACTCATCTGAGTTTCCAGTTTCCACCCATGTCCCCTCGTTCTGTTAGTATTCCGTGTGAACATTTCGTTTATTTCCACTCTGTCTATCCCTCTGAGTATTTTATATTTTCCTATCATATCCTCCCCTCTCCCTTCTCTTTTCTAGTGTCGTAAGATTCAGTTCCTTCAGGCGCTCTTTATACCCCATCCCTCGTAACTCTGGGACGAGCCTCGTCGCAAACTTCTGAACCTTTTCCAGTTTTCTTATGTGTTTCTTCAGATGGGTGTGTGTTTCGTATGATTTTGAACGAGGATAGTTCCGGAATCTGTTTTATGTAGAATCCTGAGGGTGTGCTAATATCTACAACGTCATGGTATGATCAGTTTATCTTAGTTTTGCTGCTAATCCTAATTTTGGTATGTATATATCTTGTATTAAGATTGCTATACCCCTTGTTTAGTCTAGCTTGTAATGAAATGATTTGTATAAGTTTCTACCAATCAATGTTTTTTTATTTTTATTTATTTATACAAGAGTTCTTACACTCTTGTGAATGTTTCTAACTCTGATAATAACAATTTTGCTTGCTTTGATTATTGTGACACTCTTGTGTAATTAATATACTGTACTTTTTATATACACTTTCCAAATAATAAATGTACTTTATCTGTGAATAAAGTCTTTGATTGATTGATGCTTCGTTAGATCATCTGAAACCTTCCAAGCCTGATTTATTGAGTAACATTATTGTTAGTATATTAGGGGTAATTTAATATTAAATTTAAAGCATGCTATATATAAGTTGATGCTGGACCAGATGTGTGCCTGAGCCTTCATGTGGTTGGATTCACACACATATACGGTTATAAACATGTTAAGATAACATGTTCCAACCGCGAGTCGACATAAGAATGATTCATTAGTGACAAGGAGTGTTGTTCTTGAGAATGGCATAGTAAGCATATGGCTGTGTGAATACTTGAGCACTAATAAAGGCTGAGCGTCTTGTATTGTGGTTGCCAACTTCTGATTGTTTACGAGATTTGCATATCTGGGGAATTTTGAGAACATCGGCACTATATGTAATAGTAATACCATCAACATTTCTATGGTACTGAAGGTACTGATGTATTGATAACTCAAACTCTCCTCCCTCCCTTCAATTTATTAGGGCGAACACAATGGCTTAATGACCAACTAAAGAGTATACTTTGGACGACGACAGACCAATTCTAAAGTAAACTCACGGTGTATACACACAAAGAAGCAGAATCTCTCAGTGTATATGGAATATGTATCTTGCCTGCACGCGATGTTTCCCTCCACTGCTGTAGTGAAGCAGCTGTTGAGTATTTCTATTTAAGTTTATCCTCTTATTAAAGCGTTTCTTTCTTTTAAAGAAAACTTTTGTATGTATTTTGAAGCTAGACTATTTTATCGTGAATTTACATAATAATAATATAATAATAATAATAATAATAATAATAATAATAATAATAATAATAATAATAATAATAATAATAATAATATAATAATAATAATAATAATAATAATAATAATAATAATAATAATAATAATAATAATAATAATAATAATAATAATAATAATAATAATAATAATAATAATAATAATAATAATAATAATAATAATAATAATAATAATAATAATAATAATAATAATAATAATAATAATGAGAAAATCCACTAGGGCTTAAGGTGGGCGCGAACCTACGACCACAGCATTGCCAAGCTGCAAACTTTACCAAAAACCACCAGAAATCACAGAAAGTCTGGAGCACATTAATGTGATTTCTGTGCGTTAATAATAATAATAATAATAATAATAATAATAATAATAATAATAATAATAATTCCCGTTGTCGGGGACAGGAAGCTTGCACACTAAGACTTACATCTAGGTCTCCCTCTATAGGCTGAACTACTGACCTCTCCTAGGATTCAACCTACAACAGTTGACTAACTCCCGGGTACCTATTAGGTGAACAGAAACATCAGGTGAATGGAAATATACCCGAACATGCCGTGGGATCTGAACCCGGGACCTTTTGAATGTAACACCACTACCCGGACAGCTGAGTGGACAGCGCTTCGGATTCGTAGTCCTGAGGTTCCGGGTTCGATCCCCGGTGAAGGCGGAAACATATGGGTAGAGTTTTTTTTCACCCTGATGCCCCTGTTACTTAGCAGTAAATAGGTACCTAGGAGTTAGACAGCTGCTACGGGCTGCTTACTGGGGATGTGTAACAAAGAGGAGACCTAGTCAAGGACCGGGCCACGGGGACGCTAAGCCACGAGATCATCTCAAGATAACCCTCACAACTTCGCTATAGATCCTTCAGTTAAACGTTCAAACAGAAGGACATGTGTAGTGTTATAGTTATATTTGTGTTATAATAATTCACAGGCCTGGAATGTATACTATTTTAATATAAAATGTATACTATTAATAATAGAATGTATATAGTATTTTAATCCATATGGTTTTCAACATAACTTTTTTTTTTGCAAATTAGGTTACAATATTTAAAATTAATATTGTACGTGAAATTTTGTGTCGAATGTCATCACTGTGGTGCTATTCATTAGTCTCATTTTGAATGAGGACATTTTCCTATTTCTCATTCAACGACATATTCATTGTTCTTATTCGAAGAATTAGATAAACAGATTGTTCTCATTATAGATTAATGCCTCTTCGATGTTCTCTTAAGAATAAGACAACTGCCAGTATTCTGACTCAATTTGAAGACAGCTTCAGTATTCTGATTCAATTTGAAGACAGCTTCAGCATTCTCGTTCGTAACTAAATCCTCTGCAGCGTTCTCATTCAAGAACATAAAAATTTTGCCGGTAGCAATTTATTAATAAAATATCTGATGACATCTCGGTCCGTTCTTTATCCTTATTACACCACTTGATCGAAACGTCGTCAATTATTTTTTTTTCAAATTAGTGGGTTGAATGAGAGCTATCACAGTGTTCTCATTCAAGATGGAAACAAGCTTCATAATTCTCATTCGATAATAGAGCAGTTATGTTCCTCATTGAAGAAGAAAACCTACATTGTTCTCACGTGAAATAATATCTTCATCGTCTTCATTTACGCTATATACATTAACAGTAAAGAAGGCAATGCAACATAATGTGTATAAATGTGTTGTATATGCAATTATGTGCAAGATAATATTACTGTCACCAGCTATCGTGAGCGATATCTGAAATGAATATATTGTATGATGGCAGGTAAGATTGACGCTAAAGATCTGAAGGTTGAGATCACCTTCAGATTATAGGACATGACTGTAGCCTATGGTCTTATGACATGACTAGCCAGGCAGTGATCGTTTGACATGACTATAAACGTGACTGTCAGTAGTGATTACATGACACGGCAAGAGGTAGTGATTTTGTGGTGTAAATATTGGAATCTTTTGGCGACGGTGTCGTGTAATCATGGGGAAATGACAACATTTTGGACTCATATAACAATTATAGATATAGGTTGGGATTTAATGACAATTATAGATGTAGGTTGAGATATTTTGACTATTATAGATACAAGTTGGAATCATATGACAATTCAAGGAGTAGAAGAACTCCCAGAAACCCTCTCCAGGTAAACTCCAGGTAAAAGGTGTAGTTTGGGATCGTATGCCACTTACACAAACAGTGTTAGATATTATAGCAGGTTCGGATCATACGTCGAGATTTGCAAATAGTAATTTTGTACCACTACTTAAAGGAATTTATGTGATACGGGAATTGACTGGAAGAAAATGATACAACTCCCCAGGAATGATCTTGCGAGACGACAATTATTAAATGGTCACGTATCACAATCGAAGACAAAGAAGACACACACACTTAACACCACATATTGCTTAACACAATATTTTAAGAAAATGCAGTGAATGGGAGACTTTCCTGGGTTTAGAGGTATGTTATGAACAGCAGATTCAGTGGTTAACAGTTCACCGACTAGTAAGTTCATTGACGATTTTGTGTTGAATTCTATCTCCTCTTGGAGCGTTAGATTTCTTTACTCTTTCATTGATTTATATATCCTACATAACAATCCTTCACGCCTGATGTAAACACTGGTACAGAAAAATCATGTTATCTATAGTTTCTTGTGATGCTTTGTTCTTTCACTTATGAATGCACGCTGTTGTGTTGATATATATCAACACGTAAACACTTTCTCAGTTTGCTCTTTGGGAATTATGAGTGCAACAGAAACACATACGTAATGTACATTATTAAATACGGACACGTACATACACATAGATGAATGTTTGATATTGAAAACTGAAGTGAGTGTGAATTTGACGACATTCCGTTAGTTTGTGAATTTGCTAATCGTAGCGGTTGTCAGAGAGATTCCTTCTACGATTCAGCTTTCTAATCGAAGATTTCTTGGTGCCGGGAAGGACAGCAGTGAGTTCCTCCAGAGGCACCAGTTCCCTCGCTCCGGGGTCCTTATCATCCTGAAACGCCTCTGAGGACGAAGACTCCTGCTGGCACAGAAGCACGTGAATTCCGTTACCTCCATTGAGAGACGACGGCACCGCGGCACCAGGGTCGTTGTTGGCCTTGTCCTTGGTCCCTTCAGGAGACCGGTGGACGTAGTGAAGGACCTCTGAAGAGCGACGGTTGGTAGCGGCGGCGGCGTACACACACACGGACGACTTGGGTGTGACTCGTCCGTCTGGATCACCGGGATGGGCCAGGTCCGTCACTTCCGTCGATATGCGGGTCTTGTACGTCGACGGCTGGCGGCCACCTGACGGAGAACCATACTGTCAAGAACATGCAATGAACTGTGAGTATAGAGTGTAGTGCCGCTGGCACCCGCGAGCAGTGGAGGAAGAGCAAGGCTTCTCCCACTACTCTCACTACTACAGTTTTCTAAATCATAAATCATAAATTCAATTCATGTAATGCAGTTTTATGTATTTTTTGTAATGTTTTAAGTATACGTTGTTTGAGTGATAGTAAATATATTTATGAGTTAAATTTTCAACTATTTGCAAAATTTAAATTCATTAAATTTTTTTATTAGTTTTCAACGATTTTATAATGTTGGCGAAAAATTTACATGGCTAACTTTACAACTGTGGATATATGTAGTATCTAATAGGCAGAACCACACTACTTGGCTTAGAAAGCAAGGCCTGATTTGCCTAACAGGAAGAGGGACTTTCGCTATTTTCAAATATTTCTTTCCAAATTGGCTCATTCTCATCAATATTAATGTATTATATTTGGAACATGAATTACTGACTTAGTTATTTTAGGTTAAGTTAGCTTTCGATAGACTAGGTTAGGTTAGGTAGGTAAGATTTAGTGTGGAGAAATTTCACTGTTAGTTTTGACACATATATATAAAAAAATCCCCCCTCTTCCCCTTCTGTTTCCCCCATTTTCCCTCTCTTCCCTCTCCCCCTACGTGACCCTCTTCCCTCAGTCTGCCCTCCAGCTTCGAACAGACATACATTTCCATTTAATACTGATTTAACGTTTTTTGTTGTTGTTATTAGCACATTTAGGTAGATATAAAATTGTGCAGCTGCCCTACACTATATGAAGGGGGTACAGGGTTAGTCAGCCGGTTACTGTTACTGTACTTTACTTTACGTTACTGTAGCCCCCTGCCACACCTGTGGCAGGGGGCTACTGGTGACGGATCTCGTAATCCTAGGCACTCCAGGTGTAAACTTTGTGAGCAGGAACTGGGTCATGATCTCGCACACAACATCACTGAATATCCAGTTATTAGACTATTCAGACTCATTGGCATGAGGTACCTGGAGCGTTGCAATTGCTTTATTAACTCTTCTGATTTTGAGGATATCCTCATAATGCACCCAAAATTTGCCAGTGCAGGCTACTGAACATATGGAGCTTTATGACTAACCATCGTTCGAGATGGGTCACTTTTAGCATCATTTAGCTAGTTTGGACACATTCTGGTCTCCTCTTCATATAGTCTAGGGTAAGTGCACAATTACAAAGGTACGTAAATGAGTTAATACAATACAAAATTAATGTTGCAAGAACTAGCTACGTGATGCTAAACTGTGTGTGTCTCTCTCTCTCTCTCTCTCTCTCTCTCTCTCTCTCTCTCTCTCTCTCTCTCTCTCTCTCTCTCTCTCTCTCTCTCTCTCTCTCTCTCTCTCTCTCTCTCTCTCTCTCTCTCTCTCTCTCTCTCTCTCTCTCTCTCTCTCTCTCTCTCTCTCTCTCTCTCTCTCTCTCTCTCTCTCTCTCTCTCTCTCTCTCTCTCTCTCTCTCTCCTCTCTCTCTCTCTCTCTCTCTCTCTCTCTCTCTCTCGCTCTCTCTCTCTCTCTCGCTCTCTCTCTCTCTCTCTCTCTCTCTCTCTCTCTCTCTCTCTCTCTCTCTCTCTCTCTCTCTCTCTCTCTCTCTCTCTCTCTCTCTCTCTCTCTCTCTCTCTCTCTCTCTCTCTCTCTCTCTCTCTCTCTCTCTCTCTCTCTCTCTCTCTCTCTCTCTCTCTCTCTCTCCTGTATATGTATATAGTTACCAATAATATGAAAACTCATAAACATAAACTGAAAGTATAAAATTTTGTGGCTAAGAACGTGTCTCAGAAGGGCTGTAGACATTTCTTTATTTTTGTTTGGCAGGGATATTCCAGGGCGGGCCCTAAGCCTCTGGCTGGCTCAATTTGAACATGAATGTCTATTGAATATAATTTCTGAAACTTTTGTTTTGACAAAAAAAAAGAAGATATGTCTTTTTTTTCCTGACAATTGCTCGTAATAAATATATATAAAAATACATACCGAAACGACGTCAATTCTTTTATTTTCACATATATGGGTTAAGTGTCTCAATACAGTACTGAATCAATTGGAGGCAGCCTCCTACCCCAAATGTAATGAAATCGTGGGTCAAACTGGCGAACGTCCATATAACCTCCAGGAGCATGAAGGCATCTGAGGGTCATGTACGACCAATGATGTATGCTTGAGTATGCTACCCCCTGCCACTCTTGAGTATGCTGTCCCTGCCACTCTTGAGTATGCTGCCCCTTGCCACTCTTGAGTATGCTGCCCCTTGCAACTCTTGAGTATGCTGCCCCTTGCCACTCTTGAGTATGCTGCCCCTGCCACTCGTGAGTATGCTGCTCCTTGCCACTCTTGAGTATGCTGCCCCTGCCACTCGTGAGTATGCTGCCCCTTGCCACTCTTGAGTATGCTGCCCCTGCCACTCGTGAGTATGCTGCCCCTGACCTCAAACATCAACGGAAAGAAGCACAAAATGCCTTCGTTATTCGCTAGGTTAAAGGCGGTTGTTGACTTTTATGAAAGTATTTTAGATCTTGTGAATCCCATCACAAAAGAAAATTGGACCCTTTATGTACTCGTCGTCCTTATCGAGACGAGTTTGGTGAGCACTCCATAACATGTCTTAAAAAACACTCAGAACTATAAATAGCCCTTTTCATCATTCAGTGATCCTAACTGAGCCTTGAGTTTTCAAACGGATTATCGATAATTGACACGAGATCGAAAGCACAGTTATTTTACAAGCTATCTCTCAACTTTCTGGGATGTGATCCATATGACTTGCGAAATGCTAATTCGATTGTGAATGGATAAAACCTTGAAGAGGTATCTTGGGAGTCCATTTTCCCACTCACTGTGATCTACTGCCTGACCTGGTGTTCAAAATGTCCAGAAATGATTCTCAGAGGAATGATATCCTTTTACCTGAATGAAATCTTCCATAAATTAAACAGTACGAGCTCATAAGATTCATTGATCACTGGCTATTCAAACTTTGCAAGAAATATCAACTTGGTTATAAGAAAATACAGGTTAGGAATGAAGGGAACTAACAGGAGAAAGCCCTAATCCATGACGACTATATAGCACTTGGATGGGAACAGAATTAGGATTTGGGATGGGACGAGAGGAAGGATTGGTGTCCAGTTACTTGGACGGTCGGGGATTGAACGCAGATTAACATGAAGCGAGACTGTCGCTCTACCATTCAAACTACAGCCCCGCTCCTGTGCCAGGTAAGTTCACTACGGGTTCACCATAGCCCGTGCTACTTGAAACCTTTTGTTCCGAGTAGCTGAATCTAAAACTACAACAACAACTGCTCTACCAGCTGGTTGGACGAGCTTAGAAATGAGTGATATGCAATAACAGGGTAGTAGGTCAACAGAACAGAGCAGAATAACTACACAGCTGGAAACACAGTATTTCATTCTGAAATTCAACACCTGAATACTTGACATTATTAAAAATTTACACTCGTAAAGAGACAGCTTGGGAACACTCAATAAAAACTCTGTGAAATCTAATAACTGTTACATGAGCACTGTGTTCAGTGAGTGTGATTCCTGTAAACCCTTGAATCTGCTGATGAAATAAAATTGAGTTATTTTTTGTGTATCTTGACCTTTATTTTATTATCTATTGTTATAGATTTGAGGTTATTATAGAATAGAGGCTATTGACTTTTATTACTTATCTATTTTGGTAGCTTAAATATTGTTAACAACTATTTAAAGCTATTCCACTTGGCTTTGATGGGTATAATTATGTATATATGTGAATATATTGGTATAATTATACAGTGCATTATATATAATTATAAAACTAATTTTAGTAAATCTTGTAAACGAAGGGGATTATAAATATGCATTCATTTACATAATAAAGTTTTCCGATATATATCAATATGAACATTTATACCGTTATGAATAAGGGTATAGCATTAAAATGTTCATTGTAAAGCATATTATATGCACAGTACTATGTTCATAGATACTGTAACAGCGGAGTACCTACGGGCTCACCGTAGCCCGTGCTACTTGGAACGTTTTGATCTGAGTTGCTGAATCTAAAACAACAACAACAGCGGATTAAGTCGATATTTTCTTGGAAAAAACGTTTAAAAATTTAAGGTTAAAAAAATGCTGAGAAGACTTTCTGGTCCATAGGAAGCTGATTTTATTGGCCAATACGAGGTAGCTCCTACTTGTAATAACTGTTGTAAAAAAAAAAAAAAAAAAAATATATATATATATATATATATATATATATATATATATATATCCTACGTTTGACATTCCATTGATCCTACGTCTATTATGTAATCGAATAATTTGTACCATCAATTAAGAACCCTATTTGACAGTTGATGATTACTTGTAATTGATGTAATTACTTGTGACGCAAGATGATGTTAGTGTCGATGGCAGGAATGTGTTTTAAACATAGTACAAAGATCTTATGTTATTCGTATCAGATGGTGTTAAGCCCATGACAGTGGCAATAAGTTTATTCACGTGGGGAAGGTAAGCTGATTATGAGGTTTAAGCGGAAAGTCAGTTTGACCATTTAGCACATAATTCTTAATTCACATGGAAGGAATGTTGGGACTAGGACCTGGGATATAAAGACAAGGGGTTTGGGATGTGGGAAAGGCACATTCAGCACCGCTCTTGTGACAGGTAAGTCCACTACGGGCTCACCATAGCCCGTTCTACTTGTCCCGCTCCTGTGCCAGGTAAGTTACGGGCTTGCCATAGCCCGTGCTACTTGGAACTTGTTCCGAGTAGCTGAATCTATAACAGCAACAACATGGGATGTGGGGTACAAAAAACTCGGATATGGAGACAGGAATCTGAGATATGAGGAGAAAGAACTTGGGTATGGGTGACTAGAAGCATGAATATGAGGACAAGAAGCTGGGATATAGAAACATAATGAAGAAACGGTACCGAACTACTTGGGTTATCGAGGTATTGAGCTCCCACCGTGCAAGAAGCATAACCATTCCTATACCGACTAATCTAAGGGGAAGGGAGGGGTTAGTTTATTCAACAGATGATAGCAACATTTTCCTAATAATGGGCCCAGCTCGTTACCAGCGTGATGACCTCACATCTCCCCAACTAGTTAGTAGTTAGTGTGTTAGCAATCACCAACCACGCAGCTGCATAAAGCTTTGATATCTGGATGACTCTGAGACGAGGAGGAAGTAATTGCTAATTAATATATGAACACAAAAAAGCACCATTAAAACATCTCACTCGTTACGGGCTGGAGCGAAACGATGCATTTAAAAATATAACCTCGTCTTTCAGATATCATCTTTGTCCACGTATGATAGAGGCTTTTGCAAACAAGCTGACAAAGCCCATCGCCTTGTGCGTGACATGAGGCACAGACTGAGGCACAGGCAGCCTTTGTGAAGGTAGATGAGAGAGCGGAGCCACAGCAACACTTAGACAAGTAAACGAATCTTATAGTGTCTGCGACGATTACCTTACATGAAGCTTTTCGCTGAAGATTCTGAGCTGATTCTTCATTCATCAGCCTCATCGACATAGGACAAGCGGAGGCTCTCATGACATAGCAGCTCATCAGCGCCACACACCTCATTAATATGATTATTATGAGTTTTTCCGGTATGAGTATTTCCGTTTTGAGAGATCAATATGGGTCCGCAGTTACGAGTTGCAGTGTTACCAACTATACAGAGGGGTAACGAGGCCGACCTTTTGATCAGGTAGCTGTTTGGGTATACCGGCTGACCTGATGCTGCCGATGCTGACCTCTTAAGGAGGTGAGGGTGGAGCTGCTGACCTGACACTGCCGACGCTGACCTCGAGTGTTTGCTGGCGACACTCTGTCGGAGGGACACCAGTCTCTTCCTGACGGGGGCGGTGGACAGCGTGTAGAGCACGGGGTTGATGGCGGCGTTCAGCGGCAGCACAAACACCGCTATCCAGGAGAACACCTGTGTGGGAGACACGGGGTTAGTGTTACCTCGCGGCACCTTGGGGTCTCGCGCATCTGGCTCGCGGTACAAGATATTTCAGATCGCCTGTAGTTAGAAGGCTGTCGGAGGAATGCTGGGACTATAGTGTTTATGAAGATGAACATGTAAACAAATCCACAGGGGCAGTGACGAGGATTCGAACCTGCGTCTGGGAGCATCCCAGACGTAGACATCCCAGACATCCCAGAGTCACGTAGGCTGTGACTCGTACGTCAGGCTGCGAGCAGCCGCGTCCAAGAGACTGGTTGATCAGTCCGGCAACCAGGAGGCCTGGTCGACGACCGGGCCGCGGGGACGCTAAGCTCCGGAAGCACCTCAAGGTAACCTCAAGGTAAGGTATCCCAGACACTGCCTTAATCGACTGAGCTACGACAGGGTAAACGGGTTGAAACCGAAGTTCTACTGAACTTACTGGATTCCGTAGCCTCTCCGAGGCACAAACCAGGCTTTTACACAACCCCCCCCCCTGCACCCGAGCTATGTCAATAGGCCGTTCTCCCTTTTCGCCCTTACATCATCACACCCTTACATCATCACACCCTTACATCATCACACCCTTACATCATCACACCCTTACATCATCACATCACATCGAGGTTCGAATCCTCTGCCCTTGTGGATTTGTTCATTTGATGCGTCACGTTAGTGTGATCTCTGTGTGTGATGATGTAAGGGCGAAGAGGGAGAACGGCCTATTGACATAGCTCGGGTGCAGGGAAGGGGGTTGTGTAAAAGCCTAGTTTGTGCCTCGGAGAGGCTACGGGATCCAGTAAGTTCAGTAGAACTTCGGTTTCAACCCTTTTACCCTGTCGTAGCTCAGTCGATTAAGGCAGTGTCTGGGATGCTCCCAGACGCAGGTTCAAATCCTCGTCACGGCCCTTGTGGATTTGTTCATTTGATGCATCACGCTAGTGTGATCTCTGTGTGGGAAGATGAACATGTGATGTTTATGTGATGAAGTTCATAACACCTATATACTGCTAGGTGAACAGGGGTATCAGGTGTGAGGAACGTTCCCCAACGTCTCGTTCTGAGTAGGGGGGTGTAAGCGCCACAGAGGATTTTTTTTTTTGGGCAGAGGACCCCTGTGGGATGTAAGCGCCACAGAGGATTTTTTTTTTTGGGCAGAGGACCCCTGTGGGATGTAAGCGCCACAGAACATTTTTTTTTTTTGGGCGGAGGACCCCTGTAGGGTTGACACGCCACAGAACATTTTTTTTTTGGGGGGAAAAAAATGTTCTGTGGCGTGTCAAGGTTTTCAGGTGAATTTGGGGAGTCACAGATTGGAAAAAATTACTTGTGGCGTGTCAAGGTTTTGAGGTCCAATATCGTGTGTGGGAGCCAGGGTTTTCAGGTAAATTTAGAATATCGTCTGTGTGGAGCCAGGGTTTTCAGGTAAATTTGGGGAGTCACAGATTTGGAATTAAGGAATTCTTATGAGGAAAATAATTTCTGAGTTTTTAGAAGTTTGTTAAGGTTTCTTATGTGAAAATAAGTAGGAAAATCTTAAAGAAAAGTTTTAGAAAAAATCGTGTTTGTGTCACCGCATTTCCAGGTAAACTCTACGGAGATATTTTGCCTGTTTTCAACTTACAAAATTCGTCTGTGTGAGCCATGGTTTTCAGGTTCCAATATCGTCTGCGTGAGTCAAGGTTTTGAGGTCCAATATCCCGCGTGTGAGCCAGGTTTTCAGGTAAATTTCGTCAGTCACAGATTTTAGAAGTGTGTTACAGTTCTTATCATGAAATAATGTCATACAAGTTTTGTTAAAGTTCATTTGGGAGGAAACTCAAATTTTTCAGAGTTCAGTTTTAAGAAAATATTTCAGAGTTTCAAATAATCATAGAAGTTTATTTATATGTTTATGACCGAATTTGTAAAAAGACCATTTTCAGAGAATATTGTCTTAGATGATTTGTTAAGGAAAACAGACAACTTAGCTATAACATTTATTTTATATCCATTTACGGCTATTTCATCTGTAAAGACCAAAATTGAACAGAGCCCAGTTTTAAGTTCATATTTCATCAGAGTCCAGTTTATACCTAAAAATGAACAGAGTCTACTTTGAGAGCAAAATTAGTCAGAGACAGTTTTAGCTCATATTTCATCAGAGTCCTGTAATCTGCGAAAATTTGACAGAGTCCATTTTATACCCAATTTTCGTCAGAGTCTACTTTATGAGCAAAATTAGTCAGAGACAGTATTTAGCTCATATTTCATCAGAGTCCAGTTTATGCTCAAATTCGCCAGAGTCTACTTTGAGATCAAAATTAGTCAGAGACAGTTTTAGCTCATATTTCATCAGAGACCATTTTATACCTAAAAATGAACAGAGTCCACTTTGTCAGCAAAATTAGTCAGAGACAGTACTTAGCTCATATTTCATCAGAGTCCAATTATCAACAGAAATTCGCCAGAGTCTACTTTGAGAGCAAATTTCATCAGTATCCTGTAATCTGTGAAAATTTGACAGAGTCCAGTTCTTGATCGAAATTCATCAGAGTCCAGTTTTCTAGCAAAATTCGCCAGAGTCTACTTTGTGCCAAAATATTCAGAGTCCAGTTCATGATCGAAAATAATCAGAGTCCAGTTTTCTAGCAAAATTCGCCAGAGTCTACTTTGTGCCAAAATATTCAGAGTCCAGTTCATGATCGAAATTAATCAGAGTCCAATTAAAGACCCAAATTTGGCAGAGACCACATTTTCGCTACTAGCAGTCCAATCCCCTGAAATTTTAAACAGTCATATTTCAGACGTAGTAAATAAGATCAAGTCAGTTACAGAGCTCCAGCTCTTGTCCCCCTGTATTTGCATATTTTCTCTATATTCACTGTGTTCTTCGTATTCTCATCCGTGTTCACTCCATGTTCTACAAATGTTCACAGTCCCATTCAGTTCATATTTTCACAAGTATCTCCATTTTTTCTGTAATCTTTCTCTTAGTCTCATTATGTTCTCTACAAAGTCTAGTCATATTTTCTATGTTTTCATGTTCATCACATGTTCTCTTTACAACTTTTATACTCAATATTCATGCTAACTTCCATATTTGTGTTCTTTGTCAATATTCATGTTCCTCTACAAGTTCATGTTCCTCACAAGATCACTTCGTTTTTCACCTTCACTTACATGTTTTCTACATTCTTTGTCTTATTCTCCATGTTCTTCACAAGTCCATTGTTCATTCTTTGTATTCCCTATTCTCCTTATCATGTTTTCATGTTCTCTGTAAGTTCATATTCCCAGCATGTTCACTGTATTCATCAACTTTTTCTTACATGTTTTCTGTGTTCACTGTATGTTCACTGTGTTCATTCCCCTACTTAACCTCAATTTTTTATGTTCTTTGTTTCTTTTAACCAATTCGTTTCTTCCATTCACTAACTAGTTCTTTGTCAAATAATATTATACTGCATTACAGTTTCCTCAACAATTTTAGTCACCCAGTTTTTATTTGCAAAACTATGTCAAAGTAATTCTCGTAGTCAACTTAATAGTTCTTCCAGCCATGTTCTTAAACAAATCTACACTTTATTCAGTTCCAAATTTACAAAGACAAACCTTTCTTGTAACTTCTTAACTAAAAATCTTTCGCCAATCAACTAAAAACATAGTCACTTTCGTCATTTCTCAACTAAACCTATTATCCAGTCAACTAAAAATAGTCAGAAATAGCCTCGTTCAACACTGTTCTTAACTAAAACAACCTTTCTCTTAGCTGAAAATTGTCAAAGGAAACTTCTTTCAGCACTTTCTTAACAGCCGCTATGTTTCATCAAGAAAAAATTGTCAAAGGAAACTTTCCAAAACTGTTCATAACTAGCTTTTATCCATCGTCAATCAACTAAATAATAACTTTCATCATTTCTTAACTAAACTTATTCCCCAGTCATCAGAAAATAGCCGTGTTCTTCATGTTTCATTGTCATTTCATAACTAAAATTATCCATCAATCAATAGAAAAAGTCATATTCATCATTTCGTAACAGCCATTATGTTTTCGTCAAGTAAGAAAATATAGTCAAAGATATCTATCATCGTCGTTCTTAACTTCCATTTATACTTTGTAGAGCACTAAAAATAGTCAAATGTAACTTTTTCAACACTTTCGTAACTAAAATTATATGTCGCTAAGTAAGAAAAATAGTCAAATGTAACTTTTTCAGCACTTTCGTAAAAATTATATGTCGTCAAGTACGAAAAATAGTCAAAGGTGCTCTCCGTGACACCAAAGTTACTCTTCGAGAAATCAAAGTCAAAGTCACTCTTCAATACATCAAGGACTTACTCAAAGATACCAAAGTTACACTCTAAGACATCCTTCGAGACATCAAAGACATCCTTTAAGACTTCAAGGGCACTCTTCGAGATATCAAAAGACACTCTCAAACACTCAAAATTTACTCGCATCCTCAAAGTTATTCTCAGAGTCATCAAAAAGTTAATCTCTGTCATCAAAATGCTATTCTCTAAGTAGCCTTTCGTTCATCAGAGAAACTTTCTAAGACATCTTCGTTCATTAAAGTTAATCTCAGAGGCATAAAAGTTATTCTCGGAGCTATCAAAATTAATCTCTAAAACAACAAAAGTTAATCTCTGTCATCAAAGTTGATCTGCAAGATATCTTCGAGACATCAAAGTTACTTTTCATTACATCAAAGACGCATTCAAATACTACCCATGTTCTCAGAAGTCATTCTCTAAGCCATCAATGTTCTTCTCTAAGACATAAAAGTTATTCTCTATGTCATCAAAAAGTTATTCTCTGAGCTAACAAAATACTACTCATGTTCTCAAAGACATTCTCCAATTCATCAAAGTTGTTTCAAAGACATCAAAGTTAATCTCAGAGTTATCCAAAGACATTCTCAAAGTCATCTAAAGTTATTCTCTAAGACATCAAAGTTATTCTAAGAGTTATCAAAAGTTATTCTCAGTCATGATATGTTATTCTC